ATAAGTCATCATATTAATCATCATACAGCATGTCATCATAATCCATCATAGTAATCATTTTCACACATCATGTCATCATATAATCACGTATAAATCACATATTAGCTCATAGTCATATTATCCTATATTATCCCATATTAATTCATAATACTACCCCCATATCATCTGATATTAATTCATCAAATTATACTCACGATAATCCTCACACTATCGCCTATCAATCACATAAACTTCACAGTTCTACTCATGTTAATTCGTCATATCATCACATAGTATTCACACATTAATCCCTAATATCATCTCACATTGCCTCATATTAATTCATCATAATTACACTTGCGGTAATTCTCATACTATCACTTATTATTCACGTAACCTCACTGTCATACTCATAGTAACTCATCACAGGAATCCTAGAATCAAACGTCACGGCATCGCTGCACACGATCAACATTCGCGAACTCTGCTACGCTCGCTGGCTTGCTCGCTAGGCGAGCCTGTAGCGAATGCTCGCTAGGTGAGTCTTGTGGCGAATGTTCGCTAGCTTTCTCGCTAGGCGAACAACGCAATAACAGCACAACCTGCTACAATCAGACCTGCTCTCTACCCAAAATACTCATACGATTCATATACCCAATGCTCTGAAAACATCCTCAAAACATCTCTAAGGTCATACGGTGATAACGACACAATATCTATAGTTTATTAGGCCAATCTGGCAACATTTGCACTGCCTAAAGCACTATTTTCCTGCAATTGCTCTGAGTACATCATAGTTACTTCACATTTGAATATTCCTATTCCTACAGGGTCAAACATATCACAATCCAAGGTTTTGGCCACGAAGGCCTAAGGTTTCCCTTTCTCATATCAATATTCAGTGTTACATACCATAAGCCATAATCTCAGAGTTTATTCATCAATTTCCCTAATTCTCCCAAATCAACCCAACATACTCTAAATCATAAACCCCATCGTAAACACACCGAAAGGCATACATAGAAAATCATGAAATGCGATACTCCCCATACCTTAGTCGATTCAAAGCTTTCACAATTAACTCCGGCAATCTTCCGAAGCTTTTGCCTTCACTTCTCCCTCCTCAGAGCTCTGGCCTCATTCTTTTCACGGTTCACCAAAATGAATCCTCCACCTTCAGAAATCTATTTTGTCAAACTTAGACTTGGGCCACACAATTGGGCTTTTCCCATAACACCCTTACTAACTCTTCATAATGCCCAATTTACCCTTATTCCACTTATATTCATTTTAATCAATAATAATACTAATATTCTCATATAGTATACTATTAATTAAATAAATAGTCCAAAATACACATTTTCTCAATAATTCACAAAGCCACCGAAAACACTCAAAACACCAAGATACGAATATTCTCAATTAAATCAATTAATTAAAATATTCCGATTAAATTTGGGGTGTTACACTCCGCACCTGTCAACTTGAATTTTGGTACACACCACTGTGAAAACAACCAATGTTATAGAGAACTTGCAACCGAAGAAATTTCTTGATGGTTTGACCATTACTAGGTCAAACTTTCCTCTAATATTGATCGTGACTGAACAACCATGCTTGACTCGAAACTATGCCATCGTCCTGATAAACCTGATCTCCTATCCACTATGAGAAACAAATCCTGATCCTGAGCCAGTTATACATAAGCTTGCCAACGAACTTGAACCCCATGACTAGTGAAATCCTAAGCCTGTGGTGCCTGGCAATTCTTGAAGAAAATAAGCTTGATACTTGATGATTTGATTCATAGCAACTCTAAATGACTAGTGCCAAGTATGATTATGAATTATGATCTAAAAATGATGCAGATGAGTGCGAAACAAAAACCAGTTAAAGTCAGGAAAAGTTAAGGCAAATTTTGGGGTGTAACACATTCCAAATTGACTTTACGACCAATAATCTCACACACATTGATAATTTTGAATCTGCCGACCCCTCAAACAACGGTGTATTCATTTCTTTCAACAATTGGTAAAATCTTTGTGCTTCCTCATTCGACAACTCTTCCCCATCAAAATCTTGAGGTTCATCATATGTCACATTCACTCCAAAAGCATTGCCAACCATATCATTGATCAAATTAAATTGTTCCTCAAATTCCATATGTGATCGACTGCTTGATGCGTGTGTATTAGTTGTCTCTACATGTACGTTACTCGGCAGTTGTTCTCCATTATATGTACAAACTCAATAATTTTTAATGAAACTCTTCCTCTTTAAATGACATTCTACTTCCTCTAGGTCACCAATTATAGGTCTACATTCACATTTAAGACAAGGACATCTTACTCTTCCTTCACGTCGACAACATTCTTGTGCAAATGCCCACGTGATAAACCCTTTAACTCCTTCCTCAAATTTTGGTGTAAGTCCACGTCTGCCTGGTAACGTTCTATCGTACATCCAACTACGATAGTAACGAAAATATTCCATACTGCACATTTGTATTATCATTAGATATCATTTTAATTAAATATGTGATTTTAATATATGCAAAATAATATAATTCTTTTCACATTGTTTTAGCCTAATATAAATATAAATATTACTTCAATATTACTTCATATCACTTCATATTATACAATAACCTAATTTTGTAACATTATTTTAAAAATATTTTCTTAATATAAAAAAAATAAAAATATAAATACAAATATAAAAATATAAAATCTAATTATACATTTTAACCTAATAAAAATAAATTTAATATTAATTATTTGTGAATTAATACTTTTTTCTATTTGTTTTACTATTATACATTTTACGAATTATTTTTGTTTAAATTCTAACTTTTAAAATAAGTTTCTTTTATAAATTGTGTTTTTAATAAATCTACATACCATATTTTTACAAGTAATTTTTTCTATAAAATACTTTTTAATAAAAATATTTCTATTTATTAAATACTTTTTCTAAAAATATTTACAATTCTATTTTTTAATCTACATAACATTATGTTTTTTAAAAAATATTTTTTAATTTTTTCTATTTACAATTCTGTTTTTTAATCTACATAACGTTATGTTTTTTAAAAAATATTTTTTAATTTTTTCTATTTACAATTCTGTTTACTAAAAATATTTTTAAAAATTCTATTTTTTCTAAAATATAATATATGTTCTGTTTACTAAAATATAATACATATTCTAAAATATAATATTTTAAAATATAATATATAATTTATTTACTAAATATAAAATATTTAAAATATAATATATATTTATTATATTTTACAGTTAGGTATACTAAAAATATAATATATATTCTATTCTTAATAAAAATAACATATTTAAATACAGCAAATAACAACCAAACATTCCATATACAATATTATTCATATATAATCAATATTATCCACATTTAAAGTATAATATATATTCTGTTTTTCATATATAATCAATAAATTCTATTTTTATACAACAACAACCAAACATTTCATATACAATATTATTCTTATAAATCTGAAAAATAAATAATTTAAATTACATAAATACTTCAATGGAGCAAAAATAAAGGTTAAATCTTTAATCTTGATGAGTTCCTCTTGAATCTTCCAAATCTTGATCTTCTAAAAAAAACTGAAAAGTAATAATTAAAAAATATTAAAATAAAATGTAAAACGAAAATAAAAAGAAAAAGAATATAAAATAATAAATAAAACATTAACCATACCTATGAAAATGTAAAATTTTGTGAAATGCAGTAAGGGAGGAGAAGGAAGCAGAGAAAACAAGCAAGCAGAAGCAGAAGGAAGAAGGAAGGAGAAGAAAGAAATGTGTGAAGAGTTCTGAAGAGATGGGTTATATAATGTGTTTTGTGACGTGGTAAACATGTGGGAAATTACCCACACGAATACCACGTCGGAAAAATGTCACATATATCTCATTTGCGACGTGAAAACCACTTGGGAAAGTAGCTACGTGATAACCACGTCGGAACTTTCCCAGTATTTGTTTTCAACGTTAAAACACTCAATGGTACAAAAATTAAATGACACAATAATTTAAAAAAGACGTTGAGACATGGGGTGCACGTCGGAAGTTCTGAAAAAGTCAAATCAGACTTTATTATGTCTCAACTGTAAAAGCAAAATGCAGACCAACATTAATTACTCCTTATTTGCAACGTGGATATCACGTAGGAAACTTCTGACCTGTTTACCACGACGGAAAAACTAAGATATTTTTGAATTTCAGTTTTTCATGTGGTTACCACGCCACAAATGAAATTCTGAATAATTCAAATTTCCCTCCCACAAAAAGCAACACTCACCGTTACAAATTTTCAATTAGGCATGGTTATTAATTAAATAATATAGTGACGTGGTTTACACGTTGCAATTTCTGTTTTTTCCCACGTTGTTACCACGTCACTAAATCACTTAGCAAAATGTAAGTTTTCTTGTAGTGTATCATATCTAATTAGGGTCCGCACAAGATGTCGGTTCAAGCGGAAGCAATTCTAACTGTCGTATCTATATAAAGCCCTTCACACGCCATAGGACTGAGTATCTGTATCCTACTTCACCCGATCATTAACTATTTCGGTTCTTCAACCGAACATAAAAAATGTTTTACATAATGTATTTTAACAATTTACAAAATCAATACAATCTCAAAAAGGTCTTAAAATTTTAAAGATAATTTTTTCTTTTCAAAATAACCTTTTTAAAATTTCAATTTACTATACCCTAAAGTTTTGAAACATCAGAGCAAGTTTACATTGGTGCCGCCACTGACACGCACCCTGAAAAAATGAAAAATTAGGGCAAGTTTACATTGGTACCGCCGCAAACAGAATATTGCGCTATCAAACGTGCAACCAAACAGTTAAAAATAAAAGAAGTCCGAAATATTCATGCTTGTGTTCGAGTAATTGTGCAATATTACATTGACATCCACCGTAATTCTAAACACATTGAAAAAGAATAAATGGAAAGTAACAATAGCAAGCAAAATATCTTATTTTCGAAGATTATTTGTGGCCAAATATGCAACATCACTAAGAAATTTCATCTCATTATTCATCCTAGAAACCGAAGGATTAACAATTTTCTCATTAGCCAATTCACGATCACAAGCCTGTGGTCCATCACCAGCAACCCTAGCATCATAGTTTGCAGATATTGGATCCACAACCAACTCACTTAATGAACTTCTAAACGACGTTACCAATCCATCGTAATCACTGGTTGCACAATTTTGTATGGCTCGTGAAGAAGGAAATTCCTTCATCAATGCTTTAAGGTAATCTTGGCCTTTTGTTGCCTTCTCTATTGCCATCTCTAAGAATAACTTGCAAAGGGTAAGATAGTCTTTTGCCGAAGTTATTTTAGGGTTAGGGCTTAGAAGTTTCAAGCAACGCTCATTGTCTTTTCCAGCATCTTTGCATACATTTTTACACAAATTGGAGTTTGAATTTGGTGTAATGGCGTGAGAGTTGAAGATCAAGGAAATTGTAAGGAATAGGGATAAACATGTTGAGGGATTCATTTTTTTTGCAGTTACCGAATGAAGATACTTTAGGGTTCATAATTTATAGATGGTATAGTGTCTTCTGTTAATTAATACCTTTTCTGTAATTCAATATTTCAATAATTACCATTTAAGAGTTTGTATTAAGGTTTTCAAACCATTGAACACTCTTGCGTTAAATATACATTTGTATCCAACCGTTACTTCTTTACATTTACTACCTACCTTTATTTATTTATTTAAAAGCAAGTATAATACATAGATAAAGATAAAGAGACATTAAAGTCAAAATATACAAGAGGAGGTTGGAAAATGTGTACTAAAGCAGCTTAATCAAAAGAAGAAAAGCAAACACAACTAAACAACACAACCACCAATACAAATCTTCAGAAATGAAACACCAATACAAAATATAAAGAATAAAACTAGTAAGGCTAAAAAGAGGATATCAGAAAAAGAACATGAATTAGAGCTCCCCTGCTAAAAACTAGCGAAAACAACGACCAATGTTTTAGCGCAGCAACAAGAACACAAGGAGGCCGAAGTGTTAGCATAAAATTTTCAGCTATTGAAAAATCAACAGAAAATGGTAATGACTATGTTGAAATTACTAAGTGTCAAAGTTTAAATCAAAAGTTTTGATATGTTGACTATGTCGACTTAGTGGTTTGATTGGCCAGTAAGTGGAGTCAATATTACGAATGGTTTGGATGAGTCTCACGAACATATCTATAGGATTAGGGCCACTCTCTCTTTTAAACGTGTTCAGAATTTTGAAAGACATATATATTGCAACTCTTCAACAAGACGTCGAAGTCGACACTTAGTAAGTGTTAAGGACTTACGATATTTTCAAAGTCCAAAGACTGTGATGTGGAGATGTCTCAAATCTCGACAAGAACAGTTAAAGCATTCAGAACAGTTATCAACGCAATTATCACTACGTTTGTTTGGTTTTCAACAGTTTCTCTTTGAAGACGCGTGGAAGCAAGTTAGAGCAAAGCATCCCACGTAGTAAGACACGCGTCAAACATGTAACCAACGATTGTTGTCGGCGGTTATTTTAGAACTAGTATATAAACCAAGCTCCAGACTTGAATTAAGGATCACAAAATTCTCTATAAAACTAGAGTACCCAAGTCATCGAGCGTAATAATTTATGAGAAATGTGAGATTGCGTCCATTCTTTAGATTCTCTGCAAATCCTTTGTATTTCAAGTATTTACAATTAATGTCATTTAATTCATTTACTTTTTTTATTGCTTTTTATCTTTGTCCAAAGTTTATTGCTTGCATTCAGTCGGTTTATTACCCAAGTGTTTTAAATTCACATCACACATTTTTCATTGTATATTTTCTTTTCACAATTTGTCTTTGAGAATTTTTGAATTGATCTTTTAAGTGAACTAAACTCGTGATTGTTTAATAAAAATACCAGCAAAAAAATTGGCACACCCAGTGAGACCCTTTTGTGTAAAAAATTTATTTTTTGTAGAAAAGTTGTGTTCTTTTCATCTAATTTTTTGTTCTTCGTTCGTGAAATGGAACGCCTATCGTCTAGAAACATCCCCCTCCTTAGAATAATGCTTCGATATCAGAAGAACAACCAATTGTGTCGACGATTGATCATGTAGAAACTTCAACTTTTGTTAGAGAAATTCCTACCGTTATAAGTTAGATAACTACATCGACTGTATCACCATAAATGGTGGTATCCTTGCCACAACTAATGAGTGTGCCCACTATCCCCAGGGCTACACAAAATATGATAGGGGATCAAATGCCTCCTTTTTCCTTGAGTTTCACGTTACCTTTAAATGGTAGAGAACAACCTTACGGTATGCAAACTCTAATGATGGCAAGCCTACACCCTAGTGTATCTATGTATGCAGATAATGCAATAATTATCGTATCCCTTACTAACCCATACTTAACGTCAGCGTCTATTGTGAACAACCCTAGTGAATAACACAACAACCAAGAGGTCTAGGATATATTCCTTCAAGTATGCCACCCTTAACTAATAATTATCTCCAGTCTATAAGATAACAAATGGATTAGAGTAATCACGAAATGGATAACATGCTTAAACACCAAATAAGCATAATGTTCAATTCTCTGATTCATAACACTAATCACAGTTACTAGCAATTGGCACAATAAATGAGTCGAATCGCTGAATTCTTTGGCGCTCCTCAAGCGCCTATTCAGCCAGTGCCTAATAATCATACACCACGACAAGCAATACTTGTTGAAACACTCATACTCAGGGTAGTCAAATGTAATGCATGCCAAAATGGACCTGAGGTAGTGTTGGTGCATAGAAACTAAGATACAAACTAAGTAGTTAGAAATGCCCAGCAAAACAATTTTGGAGGGAAGAACAATATAACAAATATGGTCAAACAAGTTTTGACCCAAAATGGCCTACGCCAAAATAGAAGAAATTGACCAAATATCTGATGTTGATTGTGTAGAAGAGAGTAAGATTAATCTGGCAAAATTAAAGCTAAGGCCACCATAAACTTGTAAGTTCTTAAGACATTCGAACGGGAAGAAGCCCGTCGAGCCTAGCAAAAATGAAAAATGTGTCATAAAGACATACGCATTTGATGTGACCAAGTGTGATGAAATCTTCGACCTACTGGTTACTGATGGTCAGATCATAGTCCCAAAGGGGCTAAAATGTAACACCCAACTTTACCCCGTACGCGGAATATAATAAATATATAGAAACAATTCATGAAATTCATCAGAGTTCTCCAACACAGTGGGATATCCCACTAAGTCACTTCATTTTATTAAAATAATCAATATTATTTAGTTTTCAAGTAAGCAGCGGAATACAAATCAATTCTCCAATATAATTCTCCTCGACACGAGGTCATACAACATAAGTCCAATAAATGAAGATACGTAACAATAAACAAATAAAGTAATCAAATAACAACGTAATCCCGTCATCCCATGTTACGTATCAGAGCGACTCCTAAGACTCGATCAAATAGCAACACACTCCAAGCACTACTCAGGTACCTGGTCACCTGTACTCCCAAGAGAGCACAGACACAACAACAAAAAGGGGTGAGAACTAAATTCAATAAATAAATGGTGAAATACACATGCTAAGGAGTAGTTACACACCACACATACAATCATACATAACTAACGCACATACACGTGCCACCTCAATCATTCGGTACTAATAGCCCACATTCAATTACAATAATGCAATGCGACTCACTGACTCGACACAATGCATGTGGTACCAACACAATCTCATACGGTTCACACTAGAACCCGATTTCCGTCGGAATCCGGATATGTCGTATATACGTTCCTCTGAACTACAACTTATCTCCACGACGACTTCCACATTGAAGTCCGGATGAAACTAGGCACCCATCATGGATTCCCACCTAGCCATCTCCACAAGACACATGATATGAAATGTATGTCAACACGACTATGCAATATAATACATCATACATGATTCACGATCAATCTTGATCCACACGAGCCATCCGCTCACCGTAATCCTCTCGAGAATTACCACAATCGCACAAGATTGTCCACATTCGACCATCTTGGCCCACATCTATCAAAACACCAAGACATCATTGAACCAGAACATGATTCGTTACTAAAACATATACACAATTGACTTCTCAAACATAATTAGATATAAAAATATTGGTAAAACAATTCCATTATCTATCCTATGTTATAGCTCTGTTCATTAGCTTTCCAACGCTTCGAACGGGGATCAAAACGGACTTACGGATCCAAAGTTACGTCCAAAACAATTTCGACCGAAAACATGAACATTCGTGACGGACAGAAAGACGCTGTTACGCTCCGGAACTGGTTTTCACTCAATTATTCTTGCGAATCACTTACTCAAAGCACCCAAAACATCACTAAAACATTCCTAAGGTTATACGGCAATAACGACACAACTTCTATGGTTTATTATGCTCATCTGGCAACATTTGCAACACATAAAACACTATTTCCTGCAATTGCTCTGAGTACTTCATAGTTACTCACATTTGAATATTCATGTTCCTATAGGGACAACATATTACAATTTTTTATTCAATTACACTTTACGACATTAAAATTACTCACTATCTAATATTTAACCCCTTCAGGGTCAGACATATAACAATGTCAAGGTTCTGGCCACGAAAGTCCAATTTCCCATAAGTTTTTTCTATATTAATATTCAACGATACATATCATTTGGCCATTTGCCTATAACCTCAGATTCTTACGATTACTTCCCTATTTCCCACAATTAACCCAAATCTCTAAACCTTAGGGAAACCCTAGAGCATCGTACTAATAATGATATAACACGTTCATTTCTACATATTTGCCCAAATCCCTAAAAGTTCAGATTTCCAGATCTACTACTCACTAGTATTCTATGACAGCATCGAGGATTTCTCACACGAATTTCGTATTAATTCTGGTTTCGGATACACAAAACATCATAAAAACAGTATTCAACAATAACAGAAAATTTGAGAACAAATCAAGTTACGAAAATTGGATTCAAGAATCCTCAAGAACACATCATTCCTATGAGAGAAAGGACCTCTCACTACCCTCTCATGTTAATTCACCCATATTGAAATCCATTCTCCCCCCTTACCTCGATTAATTTCTCAATCGTTGAAGAATCTTGAAGGATTGACAGCCCTAGCCTCCTTCTCTTCCTCCTTGTTCGTTTTCTCACTTTTTCTCCCAAAACCTTTCTCTGGCAGTTTATCGTGTTCTAATTCTCTTTCCCCAAAAAACTTCTCTATTTCCTTTAATCCCTTATTTCTTATTTTATTATTTAAATCCTATAATAATAATAATAATAATAATAATAATAATAATAATACTAATATTATTATCCCACTAATAATAATATTCATACTAATAGTAATAATATGAATAATAATAATATTCCACCAAATAATATTATTAATACGAATAATAATAATAATAATAATAATAATAAGGAT